ATCTACGTCTACATTACCTTTACTGCATTTTTTCTTTGGTTTTTCTTCAGTCTCAGTATGTTAGTCACCGAAAAAATTTCTTTAAAGTTTAGGTTTATCGGCTAAATCTTGTCCGCCATATTTGTTTTTGTTATTGCAACGTAAGCAGTTTAGCTCGACGACAAGCTCACCTGCTCTAAACCAATCAGAAAGCCGCTTTTAACACAGGTATGGGATAATGTCAGAAACCGGAAGGTGTCAATTTCTCTGCTGAATATTTTGACGCGGGGTATATCAATAAACAATTCTTTCTTATTAATAATCATAATCATAAATGCACGCCTATATTATATATTCCACCAACTTTTGGCATACGCTTGAAAGTTTTAGTGACTTGAAGATTAATATTTGGCTTTCATGCGGATATGGTCTTAAGATGTCTTCCATGTGTTCATTTTCCACTTGTATAAAATCTGAATGCGGCAGTCATTTGTGAGTGTGGAGAATGTTATGTTGACAAAATGTAAAGACGATATTCGCGGTCATCTTTCATGCTGCCACTTGTCTTGGGAAAATATCGAAGAGTATGAATTAATCTTAGCCAGTGCTGGATTGTTTGATATTCCGGAGTCAACTGGAGAAGATGGGGGTTTGCCCTCGTCACGCATTGGGGAAGGAATGGCGTCCCCTTCATTCGTGTCACTATCCAACTCATCCATCCAAAAAGAAAAAAGTGAAAGGTTCCCATGTTGTTCAGCTAAAGCTTGCAAAAGAAATCCATAAAATAGGGCTGAAGAGTTGTAGGGTTGTAGAGCGGTAGAGTTTTAGAGTTGTAGAGTTGTTGGGCTGTAGAGCTGTACCGTTGTAGAGGTGTAGAATTGTAAAGGCGCAGGGCTGTAGAGTTGTAAGGCTGTAGACTGAGCTGTAGTGATGTATATAGAGCTGTAGAGCTGTATAGTTGTAGACTTTCAATTTGTACTTTAGACGGATGCCAAAAGTTGGTGGAATAATATAGGCATGTGTTCATAAGAGGTGAATATTCCCTGATAATCACTGAGGCGAACAATTGCGTTAGTATTTTTACACAAGCTTTTTATGTTTTTTAGGACGGAATTTTTTTTAATTTCGCTTATTTCTTTATCAGTAACTTCCACAAAACGCCTAGCCGCCATTTTGTAAATTTTGGTTTTGTTATATTCACCTGTAGGTGAATATAACAGCTTAATACGTCACATTTGACCAATCAACTTGTAGGATTTTGTTATGTTTACTTGTGCAAAAATACTAATTATTATTATTCATAAGAAAGCGATTGTTTATTCATTGATATACCTCACATCAAAATGTTCAGCAGAGAAATTGACACCTTCCGTTTTCCGACAATGCTCGACCTTATTAGCATGTAGCATAAATTTTTACATTTAATATAGGAAGTTAATTGCAGACTTGTAATCTTTGTTTATGAAAGGATATAAGTTTACAAGTTTTACAGTTTAAACAAATGCCTGTATTCGCCGATCGATATTTCAAGCCATTTGCTAATCGATTTAAGATACTTAAAATGTTCATAACTTGAGCACGCCCCTGCAATGAACATGGAACCACCAGTAAAAATAAATGACCAAGCGTGACAGAAAAAATATTTGCGTATTAATTGCGAAACGTTTATTAATAAACAAAAGCAAAATAAAAGTGGACTTTAAAGTTATTTTTCAAGCGATGTTGCTGGGTGAGGGTTTTCAAGAAAAATTATGTTAGCAACACATGCGTCGTCAATTACAGGTAAATGATCAAACTTTGTATATGATTTGTGGCTATGCCCGTCAAGTGCCCAAATATTTTACGTTTCCCATAGTAATGGTAGTAATGCGTACTTGCTATTTAATGAAGTTGAATATGTTGGAGAGAGATAGATAGTTAAAATCGAACAACTGGCCACTAAGCAGGACAACAATGACTTGAAACACATTTTGTGGCATACATTTTGGGCAGAAGTGCTCGAAAAAAAACTGTCTAGAGGCTCTCACTAACCTAAGTTTTATCTAGAGAAACAGGTGAATCTCTAGACTGCAGAGGGCATGCTTGACTCTGTGCATGTCGTTCAGCGAGTTGAGACCTAGTTGGACTGATGAACAACTATTGGTATAGGGCACATTACCCAGGGTACTCGAAGCTGGCTGAGGATACATGCAAAAACTGTAGGTTGTTATAGAGGAACAGGCGGACCTCTAGATAATGGGCGGACCTCGACGATCTCTCGTTTTTTCACCCTTCAGGCATTTCAGACATTTTTCTAATAGTTGCATGGTCCCCATATTGAATGGCACTTGGAAAATGACGTGCAGATAAGACACGCTGGCTAGATACGTTTTGACAGTTACATAAGAAACTGATTGGGATAAATGCCCAACAAAGTAAAGTAAAGTAATTTCAGTCGCAGGCAGCAGAGGTGAACAAGGTGTCACGATCCCTTTTTCGAGACAAAAAGAAATAAACCGTTTAATACCAGCTGCGTAGGTTTGTTTTGTTGAGGTCACCCAAGAATGTTGAATTAGTTGATACACACGGTCTCGTAGGTTTGAATCATTGATGACGGGATGACGCAAAGCAGAGGAGAGGCCAACAGCGCTAATTGCTTGAAGTGGTCCATCTGAAAACGAGAGAGCGAGTCAGCAATGCCATTGTCGATTCCGCGCACATGTTTAGCGGTAAACGTAAAATTATTTGTTAGCGTACAAAGGACAATTGGTCGCAGTAAATCCATTATCTTCGGACTTTTAGAGGTTTTTTGATTAAGAACTTGAACGATGGACTCGTTGTCACAGAAAAACACAATGCGTTTAGATGTCCACTGGGATCCCCAGAGACAGCAGGCAAGATAAATTGGATAAAGTTCTTGCCATGCGATCGAAATACCGGTTTTTTGGTTGATATTTTGTTCCGGCAGCCAAAGGCCTTGGAACCATTGCCCTGCTAAATAACCACCGAAACCTATGGAACCAGCTGCGTCGGTATACAGTTGAAGTGTTGGCGATGGCGTCTGTTCGGACTCAAGAAAAAGACTAATACCGTTCCAATGTTTGAGAAAAAGTTCCCACATAGCTAAGTCTTTATAAAACCCTGAGTTTAATCGAACAAAATGGTAAGGCTGTTTTACCCCACATGTTAAAGCGATCATGCGACGAAGAAACGTACGTCCCGGGGCAATCACACGACATGCAAACTGGAGAACGCCAATTAGAGATTGAAGTTCCTTTAACTTACACGATGAACGTTTTTGCCAATTCTCAAGCAAAGACCTAGCTTGACCAAGTTTATCAGGGGGAAGGTAAGCTATCATGCAGACAGAGTCTAAAGAAATCCCGAGAAACTCCAATACTTGATTAGGGGCATACGTTTTTCCAGGGGCAATGGGAACATCTAACTCGGTAAACAGGCACAACAATTTACATAAGGAAGTTAAACATGCCGAACGTGGTGCGGGTTCGGCTATAAAGAAATCATCCAAAATATGGAGAACGTTTGAAACTCCTAGTTTGTGTATAAGAATCCATTCGAGGGCATCAGAAAGCATGTTGAAAATGAAAGGGGCACTTCGAAGACCAAAAGGAAGCACACGATCGAAAAAATACAAATCACGCCATTTCATGCCGAGAAGTTCCCAGTTGTCAGGATGTACTGGTATGTTACGAAAGGCGGATTTAACATCGGTTTTGGCCATGAAACATTTTGGACCGAGCTTTAGAAGGATTCTTATAGCATCATCAAGGCGTACATATTGTAGCGAATATTCCTCGAACGAAATGTTCGCATTGACGCTGGCTTTGGAAGTTTTTGGATACGACAAGTGGAAAATTGTTCTCCATTTGGACGAATTCTTTATAGGAACGAGACCCAAAGGGTAAATTCGAAAATTTTGAAATGGGGGTGAAGTGAAAGGCCCAATAGTGTGACCTTGTTTGACTTCATCGAGTAAATTACTATCAACGGTTTCTGGCAAGAGGTAAGCGATTTTTCGATTTTTTAAAAATATGGCTGACGAGGCCCGTGATAACCAATTTTAAACCCGTCCCTCAAGCCCGAACAGAGGCCGAAGACAAATTCACGATCTGGGTGGTCAGTTAACAGAGATCAAGTAAATTAACATTAATTGGTGTAACTGGTTTTAATTTGTCAACAAAAGCTTTACTTGTGTTTTCTGCGACACAACGTGTCATCAACTCTTTTAGCGCTGGTGTCATCGTGAGTGTAGGTGCCATGCTGTTCACCACAGTCAGTCTGGTCGATTGCAGCGGTGTTTGAACGGACACGGAGAGGTAATACATGGGACACCTCCGTTGAAATTCCGGCAAAACTTTCTTTGGTTGGAAAACCTGCTTGGCCGGCTACCTTCAAACCTTGAGGAAAGAGGGCAGACATGTGATCAGCGCCGCCGCAGACAAAACAAATTTGACGCGCGAGACCCGTGAACTTATCTAGCCAAAGCTGGAGATGGCGTTCACCCCAATTAAGTGCTGGATTTTTGGCAGCAAGCTTTCGAAAATCAATATCGTAAGCGTACCATGTGAGGACTTTCAACTTTTGCGAAGCTTCGCGGATTATGCGCTGGTAGGCAAACAGCTGCATGGCCTTATGTGGAAATTTAGTGACAACCACAGACGCATAAAATACCAAAAGCAGTAAGCCACTTATCTATGTTGTCCACTTTAGTGCGCTTTCCGAAATTTGAGAAGGGAATTGGGATCGTGAAAACCTGGTCGCCCTCTACTGAAAGGCGAATAGGGGCAAAACTAGGATGGTCTGAATTACCCGGGAGAAGCAAAGAAAAATCGACAAACTCACCCTTTAGAATTTGCTCTTCAAGCCTTTTTGGTAAACTTGGGCTGACGTCTAATGGCGAAGAAGATGTCGACGGCTGTGACAAAAGGAGGCTGGCAACTTGTGATGGATTACCAAGGTCCAGAGGTGGCATTGGAGCATTTTGCATGGGAAAACTTGGCAGCGACGGTGGTTGAGGTGGCATAGTTGGCGGCGACCGGTTTTGTTGGGCCAAAACGTCGCGGACAAGAGGAACAAGGTTCGACGCAAGCGAGCGGAGATATTCGGATGAGTATTCTGGTGTTGAGCTGGGTCTCGGATCGGCACTCGATGCAGCTGGGACTTCTGCTCCATCGTGATCGGCGAGGCAACAAAGAAGAGTATCACGTGAACCAGAAAGCGCGAGATTTCGTTGCGCCAGGAGGAGATGGAGAACCTCCATTGATAAGTCCGCGTAGTTCACCCCAGCAGTACTCGACGGCGTCGTCGAACTTTCACCAACATCTGCAGCCGGCATTTGCTCGATGCCACGCTGCAGACGGCCACAAGTTGAGCCTCGAGTTGGTCCTGAACGACGCTTGCCTTTTTCTTTAGGCATTGTAAGTCAACAATATTTTAATTTTTTTTCTTCCAAATTTTCACTTCTTTGCCAAGGTTTTTATCCCTTGAATTATAAACTAAAAATTTTGCCAGAGATGGTTAATGCACTGGCTAAAGTCTTGCGAATGAACAATGCACGTTGAAACTGCGATCAAAAGTCCTTGTGCAAAAAGGGGGGCATTGTATGTATGTACGTGAAGGAAAACCTTCAGGATAATTTCTGATTGGTTAATCTCAAGTTAGCATCAGTTGTTCACATGCTTAGTAGCCAAAGTTCATTTTTATCTGATATTTTGTAATATTAACAGGACTAGAAAACGATTCCCTTGTTCTGCCAAGGTACTTGGATCTGGTATGTACCTTGTACGGATTGATTTTGTGACGCAGATGTGTTGGCAGACTGAAAACACCCTTGGGCAAATGGAGTCTTCTAGAACATATCACTCCATTAACCGCAATTTATAGCTTTGCTTAAATTGATTATTTAATTTGTGTTATAAAGTGTGACTTTGCAAACTAGTAAAAGTGTATCTTTCAGAAAATTATTTCTCCTCCAATCCTGGATAGATGTCCCTGATTTTACGTTGTAAGAAACTATAAGCACTGATTGTTAAAATATTCTGATACATAAGACTCTCACTTACCTGTTTGCTTCGCGAGAGTCATACGAAAATTTGCTATTTAAGGCAGTTTCAGGCCGCCATTTTGGACCCGTCAAGGTGTAAAATATCGATGGGCCAAATTTTACAAAAAAAGCTTTTTAACGCAAACCGATTTCTTTTTTCATACAAGTACCTGAAAGGAAAGTTATTGTGAAAAATTTGAAGACTTGCATATTTCCTTCCAGAACTGGGTGCCCGGTTCTTACAGAGACAGCCTCTTAAAACACAAGTGTTTTAATATGGAAAGTTTTCAACTTGTATCTGCTTGTAGTGTCACCCAGACTGCCCTAAGTTTTTTGCCGTACTACGAATCTTTCCCACAATGTCTAATTTGGGTGTTTGTATTGATTTTTTAAAAACAATGTGAAAATAATTTCGATATTTCATATTTGTAAAACTAAAGGAAAGAAATTTATAACAGCAACAGTTCCTTAATATTATTCGCTGCTTACCACCACTCTATATAGTTTATACATCCTCTTTACAAATCTTTTGCAAGTCCTCAGTCATCAAGCTATCGTTTTTATATCCTCATCCTGACCATGAAAAACTTGAAATTCTTTGTAAATCCACAAAATCCTTTAATCGTATTTTTTTGATAATTTGTATTCAGCAAATATTTGGCAAACCTGACATATTAAACATCATTTTACACTTTGTGAATAATGTTGACTTTGTAGTTGGAAAACTTTATATTTTTCGAGATATTTTTGACTGCTTACAATCATCTTTCTTGTCAGTATCGCATGATCGTGTCAATGAAATTTTTGCGCCATATTTCTTTGTATCAAAACACAAGCAGCACAGGCTTTTTAAAATTTTCATAATTATTCAACAAACAAATTTCTGGTTTGACGCATTTAATTTAGACCAGAATTTACACAACAAAAGCATTGCGATATAAAAACAACGCAGTTGTGTATTCCGCAATATAAAATCAACGCTTACCTATGAAAAGCTAAAATTTAACAGCATTTTTACATTTTAGCCTACAACTTCACTGACAGAATTGTATCAAAGAAACTAAACTTTTTTCACTTGTATTTTTTGTGGTCTTTATGCTGCCTAAATCCAGCGAGCTCAATATATTGCTATTTCTGCTATTTTGCCATATGGGATTATTTGGGCTCTCTGGATTAAGCACCTAGCAAACCTGCAAACACTATATAAAACTGCGCAGGGGACTAAAACTGAAGTCCAACAGCTCCTTCAATTTCTGCCATCTTTGTTTGTTTTTGGCTTCACTTTGAGCAACCAAGTTGCTACTCCAGATATATATGGAGCTCACTGGAAATAGTACAATTTTGAATTAAATTTATCATAATCAAAATTAACATAGTATTAACTTCCGGGTATTATTTCCAGTATAATCACGTGACAACATTGTTTGAATTTAATTATTCAACAGTCAACACACAATTGGGAAGCCATGTATTGCAAGTTTATAATGTGTTCAAAATAGTGAAGTGCTTTAGTTCAGTTTAATCTGAGTCAAATATAACCGCTGGTTGTGTCTGGTTCAGTGTCTTCTCCTTCCTAGCTCTGTAGTATAATGAATATACCGTCAAAACAATATCGGCACTTACAATTAAGTGATAACATCAATTTATATATTGGGTAGAATCTCAAAGATTTTCTCATAATACTGTCAACTTCAGTTGTAATACACTCTAGTCTACACGATTTTACACCGGATTGTTTACTCTATCCATTGATCGGTCACTGGATTGAACTTTTCTCGTAGCAATAGTGCAAAGCAACTTTGCACTGAAAACCAGTTTTTAAATAAAGTCAAATTTGTTGACTTGATTATAAACCTGTTTGCTTTGTATAAAGCATGGCTTTAATAGTTTACAATTTAATATATAGAATTGAGTTTGATATTGACAAACAGAAAGTTAATATCATTTATACAAAAGATATAGTACATTGAAGGATATATTTGTGCATTTATTTATTAATATTACAATTAATATATTATATTTATTATTGTATTTATATTTTATATATTTATGCCATATATTTTGTTTTTGTTTATATTAAATATCAGTGTTCAGTTTTGTTAAACATAATAAAAGATAGAGAGGAATCGACATTGTTTGACTTTTTATTAAGACTCATGTAAAACATGATTGTCATATATGAAGTCTTTTATAGTATAAATAATAATTCAGATTATTTATGGACTAGTTTTCACTATCCTTATGGACTAGTTTTCATTATCCTTTGAAAAAGTGTGCTTTTATAGTAGACCATGAAATAGCCCTTACACTAGTCCCTGAAAATCAAACCGGTTGATATTCTGGGACTGGTCAAATCAATCCCTGCAACCATGCTGTTTTGCAACATTTCCCCCCCCCCCACCAAATACAGGGGCAGGATATTCC